GATGTAAAAACGAGCGTTCTTGCTCATTTTGCTTCGGAGAAACATGCAAAACGGGACGGAAAACATGAAATTTTGCAATAATCTTGCGCCACCCTGGCACAAAACGACGATCATTTTTCTAATTTCATAAACAACAGAAGACTATTTCTTCTACATACAAGTTGAGTAAGCGTCATCTTCTGGGTTTAATACACTTTCGCCGAAAGTTCGCTTACTCTTCAAAAGAGAGAATATTTGGTATTTTAAGAGCGTCACTTCCTTATATGAATTAATAGAGAATATTCACATTTTTTTTTCTCAATATGGAACTGAATATTTCCGAAGTATTTACATAAGAGGAGCTTTTGAGGCTTTTTAAGAGGGAAATCATAGATATTTCCCCAATTGCACTACTTACAAACGCCTTTTTCCGCCCCTGAAACTGTTACCGATATACAGGGTGGTTTTTTAGTGCGACAGAGTCCATTATTTCCGATGGTGTTGAACTATCGAAAAATAGTTTCATATAAAAGTTGTTGCAGTGCACAAAGCGCGCAGATTTTAAAAATATCTTATATGATACAGAGTGTCTCAAAAAAGCGAGGCAAGATCAAAGTGTATTTTTTTTTAAATAGAACTACCCATTTTGCATTAGCTCATGGAATGTAGCTTGAAACGCTGCATATGCACCGTAAATTATTTTTTTCTTACTTGCGGAGTTGGCAGATTATCGCCATTTTAGTAAAATTTTGCTTAAAAACATGGTATCTAAAAGTTAATTGTACCTTTAGTTCACCTTACAAAATCTAACAAGTTTTTGGAATTTTTAGATAAAATGACTTATAACTTGAAAAGGGTTGATTTCACAGCTTAAAGTGTAAATGCAAATTTATGACTTTGTAAATTGTCTATCTAATGACGTATTAATATACATGTCCTTCCATTTGAAAAACAAAAGTTATATTGCGATAAAAAGTTTTAGATTGAAGTCCACATTGTTAACACCCGGTACAATGTATTGATACTTTGGTTCAATAGACTTATTAACGGATCTGTGGTGATTGGAAAGACGTATTTTTTTGTATCTTTAACTGCTTTTTTGGCGTCTACAATTAATTATTAGATACACTGTTTTTAAGCAAAATTTTACTAAAATGGCAATAATCTGCGAACGTCGCAAGTAAGAAAAAAACAATTTACGGTGCATATGCAGCGTTTCAAGCTGCATTCCATGAGCTAATAAAAAATGAGTAGTTCTATTTAAAAAAATGCACTTTGATTTTGTCTCGCTTTTCTGAGACATTCTGTATCATATAAGATATTTTTCAAATGTGCACACTTTGTGCGTCAACAACTTTTATATGAAACTATTTTTCGAAAGTTCAACACCAACGGAAATAATGGACTCTCTCGCACTAAAAAAACCACTATGTATGAAATAATTAAGTCTTTTATAATCGGTGCAGCTTAAAAAAGTGCCTCTAAACCCTCCACTTTTCAGTGCCAAACCGAGATCCTCGCCACTTAACTGCAGTATTGCAGGTAAATTGTTAAATAGAACATTTGAGCGCATCCTAATGAAATTAAACGTGCGGTTATTCATAATAAAACTGCAATTTCAAGCATGCGATATGCCGCAAAAGCTGGCGTTCATTCGACCTGCAACTAGACACCGGAATGTCCGCAATTTATATATAAAATCTAATTAGAGACGAAACTGCAAATTTTTGTTATTAAAACTATGACTAGAAAGAATTCAATAAACCTTCTATTCTATCCAACGGTTTAATAAGATCAGGAGCTCGTCTGAAAATAGAGTTAATCTAATCCTGTTAGCATTTAAACTTGTGTGTTCTTAAGCATTAAAGCCTTAGCGAGCCAACTGTCAATAACGCTTAGTCTATTTTATCTGGAATTTCCATTTGGGAGGCAAAGTTCGCTTTTAATGTGCCCGGAGCTGTTATGCTGGAAAAGGGGAAAGCGTCATAGGCTAATTAGAATCGATAGTCGATTTTCAGGTAGAAACAATGGGAAAATTGTTGTTGCGCTTATCCGGTTGTCCGTGTGGGCTGAAGAATGGCATTTTTTTACAGGAAGTTGAAGAAGAGGAGGAAGAAATCGAGCAAGGAGTAGGCGATAAAGGATCCAAAGGGTCATCGGAAGGAGACGGAACCACAGGCAGTTACTCCAGCTTGGAAGATGATGAAGCAGAAAGTGATCAGCTTTCCGCGCTTGTGGCGAAATACCAAACTGATAATGTTAACTTCGGCAACGGGAATAAAATCTGTAAGTTTTTAGCGCTGGAAACACAACCGATTTCATTTCCCATTTATGGCCAGTTAAAACCAGACATTCAAACTGTGGAAAAGCTTTCAAGCGTTATCGGATTACAGAAAATGGAACATTCCACTCAACTACCGATTAAAACCAAAGCTCCGCCCGAAATTGTTATTTTACGTTTTCATTCTTCACAGCAAGTGCCTGTATTATAGTGTGCCACTTGCATTTGTCAATAATTTCGTCATCTGTTGGTAAAATACTTTTAATGGAGCAATGGAAGAACTTGTGTGCTTATTATAGTGCTGCTATTTAGCGACGTAAAGGCTTAAATAAAATATGAACCCTTCAGGCAAAATTCTTGAGGAAAGCTACAGAGCCTAAATGGCTTTAGCGCCAAATGTCTTAAAAATGTATTAAACAAACAATGCAAATTAGGGTTTTTTCCGGTTTGGTTGGCGAATAAATGAATCTAGAAAGCCAGTCACAAATCAAACTAAACGTACAGGTAAACATCGACTTGGTTCAAACACATTTGTTATTATACGTGTTAGTTGCCAGCAGAGCTTGGAATAACTGAAATCCCGGGTGAAATTAACCGCTACATTTTATACGTTCCTGATAAGATTTAATGGATTTATCCCAGCCAGGGAAACGGTGGATCGCTGCCGTTAAGGTGCGGGAAATCATGGAAACGAGATGTGCGATAATGGAAACTTTCATCATTTCCATGCGCGACAAATAAATGTAACGAAGTGTTATTTCCCGAGAAAGATTGCATTCATTTCCGACCTATCATGGACATTTAGGAATGCTAGAATGATTTTGAGCCGATTTTTACCATTCGGCTACTTGCTGTTTTTTTCCTACACAGTTTGCAACTTTAGCCATTAATGTGGAACTCTCCAAGCCGCTAAACTGTGTTTGAAAGTAGCACAAACTCTAAGTGCAAAATTAAGGAATTTTTGTTTTTATCTCAGACAAACAATTTTGAGCGTGAAATGCCTTTTCTTCTAACTGAAGAAACCACAAATCGTACATAATGACACAATTGCGTTACAAATAAATTTAAGTTTAATTTTCTTTCTAGGTCCAACAACCCACCATGCATCCTCCAACACCTTTCTAAATGGTAAGAACATTCCAGTGGATAACTGCGCTTCTGATCGCGGGCTTCAAGCTCAGAATATCCATTTTATGACCAGCTCAGACTCAGAGTCACCAACCGAACCATGCCAAACTGTTGCCATGCTCAGAGCCAGAGTGGTGCCAAATAACGTGTAATATTCCAGAGCCGGTTTTTGTACTAATTTATAATTATTTCCGTTTATGCGTCACCTTTAACTTCCATATGTATAAGAAAAAATACAAATGACACTTAAAAAATACATTTTTCAAAATATTTGGTTTTACTGTCATAGACAAAGTTAATCGGATTTTACGGACTAATAAATTAACTTTTTAAAATTATCGTTTAATCAGTGACAATATTTTAGTTTCAATTTATTGCACATGAGAGGGTGATCCATTTTTTAAATCGAGAAAATGTATGAAACGAAAGTGCTTCGCTTTAAATCTATCGGGTATAAAGTTAACGATCTTATACAACAATTTCTCGCATTGTTTTCTGGACCGGATGCTAAATCTTTCGCCAAATCTGACTGAAAAGAGAAATGAAAATAAATGTAAATGCCGAAGGAAAAATATACCTACATACAAAAATATGTATGTACCAGAAACGGATGAAAACTGAATGAAAACGTCTTAATTCAAAGTATAAAAAGGTCTTAACCGTGCATTAGATGGAATTGAAGACAAAATTAAAATATGGATAAATCAAAAGCGACTACTATAACGAGATTGACTTTATTGATGATGGTATCAAAAGGAGTAAAACACATTCAAGAACGATTAACACCGAAAGGATGAAAAAAAATCGTTTAAAACGCTGTGATAAGATCGCAGAAATGAAGTGCGGTTGTGGAATAGTTCAAATAAAAACTTGTTTTTTTTTCTACGATTAGCATCATGGAGCGTTCATAAGCGAAGCAAGCTATTTCCGAACCTTCGATCGATTTTAGACGAATCCCGGATTAAAAAATTTATTGCTATGTTTAAAAGTACAAAAACCGAGCTTTTAATATTAACTCACCCAAATGCCACACATAAAAGCTTTCTCTAACGCAATATTTTCCCATTTAAAATATTTAAACATTTTTTAAACCATTTATCTTGCCAACGATATCAAACACATCTTCAAGGCAAGAAGAAACTCACACTCTTCTAAAACTAGTGGGTTTTTTGGCCGGAAAATTGAATTTCTTCCTGACGTTTCGCAAGCACGAGTGGTTTGCATCTTCAGAGGTGGTTTGCTTGAACGCTGAAGCTTACACTGTTATGATCAGGACAGTGTAAGCGTTTTTAGGACGGCCTAAAAACCCACTAGTCTCAAGAAATGGCCTCGAAACACACACCGCTCTATTTTTGTGCAAAGTTTTTCTTTGATGGCAAAAATATACTAAAGACTCAATTATTTGGCTGGACAGTTTTTGATTTTTCGGCCAAATTACTGCACTTATTTAACTTCTACGCCAAATGCATAAACTGCTTTAGCAGGTAAAAGAACTGTCTAACAACAAATAGGTTGAAAATTGCTTATTTCCTTTTTCTTGCGCCAGTGTGAGTTTTAAATGTGGTTAAAGCAAACACATTTGATAGCATCCCTACACCCATCCATTACCAAGAGATCATATCTTTCATGCAAGCAAAACTTAACCAACTGGGCATCCATTGTGATCTTTTATCGCAAAATCTACTTTCTGCTATAAAAATTTGTTAAATTTCACAAAACTTTACAGCCAAAGCAAGACATTTTCAACAGATCATTCCACCGAAATCATTCCGTTTTGTAAGTAATGAAATTGATAATTATACAATAATGAGAAATCAGAAAGCTATAGGTTGATGAAGATTGCGCCAAACATGATTCATCTGAAAAATAGTTCCGATAATAACTGGAAAAGTCCAACACTATGGGCAAGATTCACTTTTTAACGTTCACATTTTTTAAACATCTGTGTATGAAACTGTGTGAAAAACCGTGAAAAAACAATTAAAACCAATTCACGCGTTTTACCTGAATACTTAGATATATGAAGAAGTTTGGTAGAGATAGAAATGATATCTATTATATTTTAAATATCTCCTAGATTATTAGATCAGATTAGAAAGTAATATAACTCTTGAGAAAGCTACTATGTAACCTTTAAAGTGTCTTAGTGGTACCCTGATAAAATCAAATATTTTGTAATGCGAAAATTCAGATCTTCGTGTTACGTGTGTGGTAAATTAGAAAACTATTGTTGTAGTACCCAATGCATCAGTGGATATATTTTTGTATTTTTTGTAGGTAGATTTTTAGAAAGTGAAAGGGTTGCATCCCAAATTTTTGTTAATCGATTGGAGGCGATCTGAAAAGCGAAAAATTGACCAGATTTTCTAAGAACGACTGATATCCATTGCTTTTGCTACGTACATTTAACGGTGCCCATTTTCAATTTCATACATTTACTGATTAAAATGCAACTCTTTCAACGGTAGAACGTCATCGACCAAACAAAAGATTTTGTCCCTAAAGTAATACTATTTGAAAAAACTTAGTTATAAAGACTGAATGTTTTCTTAGAACATAGAGATAGCCACAGACATATCTCACCACAACTGAAGATTTTAGTTTGGGATAGAACTATTAAGGTAGCAAATTACCTAATAAGATAATAACGCGTTTACTAACCAGTACAAGCTGTGAAAAAATGTAAAAAAACACATTTTAGGTAGAGGCGTTGACCAGTTGTGGTACTATCCAAGTACCTACTTAAACAACAGAATACTATTAAAACAGTCACTGGTTATATCTAAGAATAACGATAATTAAAAGACGTTTT